TCTAGATCAAAGAGTGTAAGAGTGGAATGGCTCCAAGTTACTGAAGGTTGACTTTTAGACTCATTCAGTTACTTAGGTTTTTGTCTTCCTTTTCTGTTGTGCTCCTTCTTTACATCTGGCTCCTTACAACTAAACTTGAACTTTCCTCTCCCACCTATTGCCTGTTGAAATGCAGAGAGAAAACAGGGAAAGGTGGCACAGAAAAATGGAGGCCAAATTCAAGGAAAACATGCAGTTAAATGCAATTATCAATAAAAAGAATTTATTTCCATTTCCGTTTTACCATATGGTTAAAGATGCTTTGAAATTTAAGTAGGAATATTTACCTTACTGTGTATTTTTTATAAAAAAAATAATTATTTGCATTTTCAAAAACGGGAACAGAGAGCATACCTTACTATGTACTAAATAGCCCCTGGATTGACCTTCATGTATTTTAAACTTTCATTTATAGCCCAACCCTCCCTGAAGCTCAGGCTGGCATGCATAGTTCCCTCCTTCCATTTAATCCTTGCAATTATTATGTGAGGTAGGTTAGCATAAGTAGTGATTGGCCAAAGGTCACCCAATGAGCTTCATGACTGGAAGTTTGAACCTGGGTCTTCCCAGTTTGACACTCTAACCATTACATTAGGGGGTTGCTATCATGTGCCTTGCAATACCTTCCCAGGTATCCTCGGGCCTCCCCATTCAGCTGTAACAGTGCCCCACATCTCCTCCAAGTGTCCCTGTCAAGGTTGACTAGAAGACTCCTGCTGGTTTTCAAATATTATCAGGGACGGACTTTGGTAATCCTTCATAATATGGCACCCTGCGTGAGGCCAAAATTTGGTGCCCCCAAATAGATCTTCTGAATTGTGGATCTTCTCAATTTTGTGTCCCCCTCAGTTCGGCACCCTGTCTGGGGGGCGGAACTGCCTGCACCATGCTAAATCTGGTGCTGCTATTCTGTTTGTTGTTACTCCACCCTTAGATATTTTCACTGCTATGGAATGTAGATATTAGTTCTGCTTATCTCATGCCTTGCTGTGACATGCTCTATGGGGAACTGGCTTCAGGCAACAGGCCAATTGGCTGACCAACTCTGCATTACGAAAACACCTGCAAATGTGACATGGTGGCTGGCAACATCAACCCTGCCGTGTGGGAATCCCTTCCAGATGACTGCAGTGCCTGGAGACAGTCATGTCATGTATCCATAGCAGTGACCAGAGAAAGAATGACTGCTGGGAGGAGCACAGAAAGAGCAAACACCCTGGTGCATCTGCAGCAGCACAACCAGACACCTACATCTGTCCCAGCTGCAACAAAACATGTCTCTCCTGTATCGGTCTCTACAGCCACAGCAGGCTCTGTAACCATCCAGCAATTTGACCCCCAAAGCCACACTCCTCCATTGTCTCCTGAAACAGATGGATACCAGCAGTGGCAACAAATGTTGTGGTGTGTTCTCACTATCTGGAACACTGTATTTTAAAGTAGAGTGTTGCTCTATCTTCACTTTCTGATTAAAGGTTTATACATACTGTTATAATGGTGTCCTTTCAAATGTTTACTCTTCTTTTTGGAATCATAGAATTGTAGAGTTGGAACGGGTCCCCAAGGGTCATTTAGTCCAACCCCCTGCAATGCAGGAATCTCAACACGTGGCCCCTGCATTCAATTTGAAATCAGACCAGACCCTGCTTAGTTTTGCAAATGTGCTAGCAGTTTTATTCTGTTGCTTTTAAGTCTGCAAAGCCATATCTTGTGTGTAATATTGTGTGTGTGCGATATTAAATTATTCAAACTGGTTTTGTATGCATCCCTCAAGATAGCGTTCACATTGCATCTGAAGCACAAGATTAAACACACACTCTCACACACCCTGCCCAGCCTTCTTATTACACACATGGATGGGATTGTGATATATGGAAAGAAAGAAAAAGCCATCCTCAAAACACACCAAAACTTAAATGAGCATTAAAAAATTACCTCACAAGAATTGCAGGTATCCAAATCTTTCAAATCTGAAACCTGAAGAAAATACTGAGAGAGACAAGCCATTTCTCAATCTCAGCAGAATATCTTCCTCACTGTGTGGAAAGTGTCATTATACGCTTTTCAGAGTGGCCATTTTAGTCTCTTACAGGAAAAAACCAACTCATTTTATTGCACCTGAAAGACTAACCAAACTATTAAGATATGACTTCGGGTGCATCTGATGAAGTGAATTTTAGTCTAGAAACATTTATGCCATAATTTGTTAAGGTGCCACAAGACTCTGTTATTACATGATTCACTTGTGACTTTGATATGATACCTCCAAAATTTAGTACTTCAGCATATTTTTTGTGGAGCCATCCTGTCTTAACTGAGATGTTCTGAACTCTGGCTGCCATCAGCTCCTGTTAAAGTATCCATGAATGATTCCAGATGAGGTTTCCCTTATGCAAACCAATGATGTCTTGCTCCTGGGTGTTGCAGAGGTCTGTGTGAGGCTTGTAGACCTCAGTGTCTTACATTGCTGCCTTGGTTTTTGATTTTGTTTCAGAGCATGAGCTTCTAGAGGAGCTGCTGACTTATGATGACCTCTTTCTGGAAACATTCAATGCTTTTCTGGCTATGCCTGTGAGTAGAGGTCACATCTTTCCCTGTTATCTGAACTCTGGGTTTTGGCTGGGTTAGAAGGATACTTTCACAGTTGTAACATGCTGTTCTTCTCAGAGAACAGTGCATTGGGGTTTGATTTTTTTTAATGTAAACAGCTGGTGGGTGGGGGATATTTGTGGGAAAGGGCTGCATGCAAAAGGTCCCAGATTCAATCCTTGGTATTTCCCATGTGGGAATGTGAAGTGTTTCTTCCTGAATTCCTAGAAAGCCACTGCTTAGTAGGTGTGGATAATACTGAGCTAGATGGACCGGTGGTTTGACTTGGTATAAAGAAGGTTTCTATAAGATCAGGACTGGGCAAGGAGAATTAATCCTTGCCCCGACCTCACACTGCAACTCTGATGAATATTGCCCCCTAAGCTGTATGTAAATGGAGATTTCATTCCCAGGGTTAATAATGGCTCCAGGAATGAATTTTCATTGGGATCACAGTGGATGCGGGGAGAAGGGCAAATAGCAGAGGTGGCCAGGATCCATTGGGACTGGTAGGCCAGAAAGCTGGGAGACCAACAGCAGGGGGAGCCAGAGCCCATGGAAGACAGAACCAAGTAATTCCATTTGTGTCCCCATCTTCCATTCCTGGCCTCTCACCTCCCATGACATACTTTAAAAAACATTTTATAAATGTGAGGCATGACTGAAGATATGCATAAGCACATTTGCATTTTTTTAAAAAACAAACAGTTACTTGTTTGATGCAATGGAGTAAGGACAAGATGAAATGCTTGCTTAGTTGCCCTTCCAGCATTCCACTTTCTGGCATATATATTTGTAGCACCAGTTGCAAAGCTAGGTTTTAGTAGCTGCTGAAGGACCTGTGGTGAGTGACTGCTCAGAAATACTCTGTGCTCATATTCTTCTTAGAACTAAAAGTGACCTCTGCAGACACTGTTCCACCGGCCTTTCAGGTGATGTGTCACTTTCCTGCCTAAAGGGATGCTTTTTCTCTTTCAAGTAGGCTTTCCCTCTTAGACTGCATTACGACCGGCTGACAGGACGACTGCAGGAGCTGGATGGCTTCCTCTTGCCAATTGGGTCTAATTCCCTTTGCTATGGAGCAACCGATACAGAGAGGGAAAGGGCCCTGAGCTGGTTAGCGCAGGAGCGCTTCCTCCCATTTCAAAGGTTGAGCACTGGATCTGTTTGCATTTTCCTACACAATGCTCTGCACTATTTCTTACCTTTCCGTTGACCTGTCACATTGCAGGTGTTTTCCATGCTTCAGATATGGGTTCAGGGTTTTGTTCCTGCTGCTGTGAATTCCTATGTGTCTATAAGGTAGTTGCAGTCATTTTAATCTTGCAAAGAGGGAAATGGACAGGAAACACGGAAGCCATTGAATGTCATGTAGTGTGTAATACAGTATGCCCATTCTACAGATCAGTAAGTCTCTGACATCCAGCAGTTTTATTTGTTTGGCCCAGTCATGTTCACAGCTAGAACAACAGAACCTGTGCTTAATTTCATCCCATATTATATTGGGCCCCTTAATTACTTTCAGAAGCGGCACTCTGCTCTGGGACATGACTCCTTCCATGCAGTATTGCATTAATCACAGGCAACCAAAGAGGATAATTTGAGCATGTAATTTTCCTTCCCTCATAGGTAACAACAGCTAAGAGACTAAGGGGCTTGAATAGATATTCTCATGCTGTGTCCAAGCAAATCTGTCCCAGGTTGCAGTCACGTGGGATGAAGAGCCATTGCCTACCATGGACTTCAGAATAAGGGTGCATATAATTGAGATGCAAATCAAGAAATAAACTACTTGAGCATCCACAAATGCAACTGAAGGCATTTCCAGTGTTAGAAAACCCGTCAATACCTTTTGGTGCAGGGTTAGGGAACCTGTGGCCCTTCTGATTGTTGAACTCCAACTCCCATCAGTCCCTGCCAGCAGGGCTAAGGGTCAAGAATGATGGGAGCTGTAGTCCAGCAGCATCTAGAGCTTCCCCTCCAGTGCTAATATAAAAACAAGTTTTCTGAAGAAGTGTGCATGCACACGAAAGCTCATACCAATAACAAACTTAGTTGGTCTCTAAGGTGCTACTGGAAGGGATTTTTTTATTTTGTTTTGACTACGGCAGACCAACCTACCTGTAAACAAATTTTCTGTCACAGAAGTGTGTGCAAGTAGACTTTTTGAAGGGGGATTTGTGAATCATGCCCCCCTTTTCTAATTTGTAAAAGTTAACAGTTTAACTGTGAATACGATGAATGTACCACCTAAAATAATTTTCTAAATGGTAAAGTGGGCTTAGAATAATGCTTTGCAGCCCTTCCTGTGGCCTGGTGCTCTGAGCTGTCGCTGTTTCTGAAGTGTTCATTTGCTGCCTGTTTCCTGCTAGAACTCTCTTTTACCTGGAGTATAAACTGGCAAAGCTGTTGCTGTGTCCTCTGGATGAGAAGTACCCAGGGAGTCGCTATGCAATTCGTGGGTTCAGTCGCCAGTCTGACAGCACTGCCATCTCCAGCATCCCCAGCCATTCATCAACAGAGCGGCAGCCCACTGGAGTCCCAAGCCACGTGCTGCTAAGACTTCCTAGCCAAACACGCAGTACTCCGGCCTGCCTAGGTGAGTCTCCCTCAGCTGCTGTCTTCTGCACCCTCAGGAGTGGATCTCCTCAGCCATATCTTGGTCCCTTTCCACTGCTGGAGAGATGCCTGTCAGTCTCTTCGCATGTTTAGCTCTCAGACTGCTGTTTGGTTGGCTGGAAAGAAGACAAAACTATGGTGTGTGACTGCACTTGGAATACTGTGTATAGTTCTGGTTGCCTCACTCGAAAGGTATTTTAGAGATGGAAAAGGTGCAGAAAATGATAATGATCAAGTACCACCTCCTTTGTCCAGCAATAGCAACCTTTTTACTTAGCTGCCATCTCCTAATAGCCATTGATAGATTTGTTGTCAGTGAATTTGTGGCTAGTTCTTTTTAAAGTAATCAAAAGTAAAATTATTTATGTTGCCTTGACCATGTCAAAAGGGAGTTTGGAAAATGACTTAGATGGGGCAGGATCCAAGCCTTTCTACTGTCCCATGAACCCATTGCACTTGCTTCCATTCTACACCTAGGTGGGGAAGAAGCCTCGCCATCCATCAGCTCATCTGTAAACATTTTCTTTCTGATCCCTCTAACCTTCTGTCTCCATGCTTTCCTGCAGGACATTTTGTAAGATCATCTGGCCAAACCTCCACTGAGATATCTTTGGAGTTCCCAGGTATCTTGAGTTTAGCTCTATCTCCAGCCACAGAACATCTGAGCAGGCTTCAGCTCCAGAGACTCCTGTCTGACTCCAGCGTACAAAGAGCAACTGGTAGGAACCCTGCAGCTAGGTTGGGGAAATTGGAGGTTGGGTAAGAGCTAGCTGGGAAAGGGTGCATTCATTGCCCTGGCCCCTGGAAGGAAGTGCTTTCAAAGGTCAGCTATTTGTGATTTTGCTTACAGGAAGGCTCAGAAGTGGCTGGACCAATGCAGGTGAGCCAGTGGTAACTCCAATTCATCTAAGCAGAGCTGCTCTTGCCTCCTCGCCTGATCAAGAATTCACTGAACTTCACATGGATGGGTAAGTCTGGCTGCTAAAAGTACCCTGACGAAGATACCAAATTATTTCTAACCAAGTTAATGTAATGTTCTCCTGCCAGATGAAAAGGTCTTGTGAAACCTGAAATCTGTTGTGCAATGTGTACGGCACAGCTCACTTTTCATGGTGACTATGAATTCAAGTTTCCATGCTTGAGAGTTATCTAATGCAAAATGCTGTTGTCAGAATATTTACTGGATAAAGGTTATCAGAACAGAATTACATCCATATTGGTTGATCTACAATGGTGGCCAGTCCATTACTGTGCCCAATTTAAGGCAATTGTTTTAAGCTTTAAAAACCTAAAACAGCTTGGGACCTAGACTGCTTTCTTCCATATGTTTCTCCCTGCATGCCTTGTTCATCTTATGAGAATATGATCCAGATTTTTTGGCTGCCTGAAGCACAGCAACATGGCGTTGTGCTTTATCAGTGGTGACACCCATCCGGTATATTCTACAGGCATGTTGTAATAGTATGTTTCCTGCACCAGACTAAATGAACTTTGATATCCCTTTGAACTATCTAATTCTGTAAGATTTGCCTGCAAAAAGCTGTCCCCATCAATTGTCTGGTTTTGACACACTGTTCCATCTGTTCCTTTTGAAGTTGTCGGAAGCCATTTTCAGGTTCTGGGAAGGTTTTGCAGTTTGACTTGAATGAGACAAGGAACTCCCAGGAAGGGGAAGGGGACACATTTCTTTCGCCTTGCTTTGGAAGTGCCGCTCTGCAGCAGCTAAAAGAAGAGATCCTAGGGACTGTGAGTAATGTGGCATCCTGCTGAGAAACTTGGCTTGGATGCATTCTCTCTATCCAGCTCATTTTCCCCACTTTCTGACTTATATGGATCCATCTATATAGCATAGCTCAGTCGGTTAGAGCGTGATGCTGTTAAATGCCAAGGTTGCAGGTTCAATCCCCGTAAGGGACAGTTGCATATTCCTTCATTGCAGGGGTGTGGATTATATGATCATCAGGGTCCTTCCCAAGTCTCTGATTCTATGATCTTGTATTGCGATGGTGACTACCAAAGGCACAGGAGAAAAGGTGGTTGTCTCACTCTGTTCAATGATGATGTGAACTGCAGTGTTAACAACAGTGGCCCTATTAGGGCATTCGGTCTCCATGCATGTAGAACCCCCCACTAGGTTTAGGCTGATTAAAGTTATAGATTGCTTCCCACTTAGAAAAGTCCCAGCACAGTTTACAACCAAAATAGAAATGTAATAATAATAATAAATCGCACAAACATGTTAAAGACATAGTAAAGAATACAATGTCATGAAAGAATTAGTTCTCAAGGTAACCACCCAGGACATGACAAACAGTCAGTTGAAAGGAAAACACTTTGCCCGATGCTGAAACAATGGCAAAGTTGGTGTCAGGTGGACCTCCCTGAGGAGAGCATTCCATAGACAGGGGGGCTACTAAAGAAAAGACCCATTCAGGGCTGTACTTGGCACGAGGGGCCTCCATGAGTAAATTGGGTAAAAATGGCATGTTAGTAAGGGCAGGGCTTTGAAGCACCATACCCCCCACTTCTCCCTGCATGTAACTTTCCCCATTTTTTCCTCTTGTGCAAAGTAGCCATAGAATGGGCCCTCCTGACAGTAAGAGCTGTTCGACAGTGGAATTTGCTGCCAAGGAGTGTGGTGGAGTCTCCTTCTTTGGAGGTCTTTAAGCAGAGGCTTGACAACCATATGTCAGGAGTGCTCTGATGGTGTTTCCTGCTTGGCAGGGGGTTGGACTCGATGGCCCTTGTGGTCTCTTCCAACTCTATGATTCTATGATTCTATTCTATGATTCTATGATTCAGATGGATAGCTGTGGGTAGGCAGCATTCCCTTCTCCTCTCAGGTGCTTACAGCTCTACCAGCTATTTTCCCCCTCCCTCCCTCCCTCCCTCCCTCCCTCCCTCCCTCCCTCTTGTATTGCAGAGGGCTGGCATGGACAGCTTCAGGGAGTTCCTCCATGGCACACTGGGAATCCACCTCCTTGACTTCTGGATTGACTGTGAGGATATTATGGAGCACACCACGTGCCTGGAGAAGGCCAGAACTGCATCCCAGGAGATCCAGCTGTTCTTTTTCAGCGCTCTTCGGTATGGATGCCAATGGTTTTTTCAAACTAGATGTGGAGGAGAATGGCTATACAGATGTGACATGGGAGATCCCTGACTGGGTCTTTTATAAAGCACTTGTTGCAGTGCTGTAGCTACAGGGAGCAAGGGCCTAGCCATTATTATTATTATTATTAATATTATTATTACCCTGGGTGAAGCCGCCAGAGGGGTGCCATTGAGGCTTCCAGCCTGTGTGTGTACACAAATGCACATGGGGGTGTGTGAGCCAAATTGGGTCTTTGACCTGGATGAAATAAAGCCTAGTTATGCCCCTGCTTGTTAGCTGGCAGAAGATGCTTAACCCCTTTCCTTCATGCTGTTTACCAAAACTGTGTCACCTTCAAAGCTGCTATTAGCTCCACAGCATGGATAAAAATGCGGGCACCTATGAGATGACTGTGGAGCTAATAGCGATGCTGGTGCTGTGTTGCACCACATGACCACCACTTCAGTGTTTCTTAAACATCTGGGTGGTATCACACTAGAAAAGAGTCCCATGCAGGCTGACGCCATGATGTGTTAGCAACAAATTGGCTCTATGAGTTACATGGCCCACCCACTTGCCCCACCAAATCTAAGTTTCTGGCTCGGCCAGCTTGCACTCAGCTCAGACTTTTCCTGCTCTAGCTGTTCCTTCCTCTTTTGTTGGCAGGAGCATTCAAGCCAAGTACAAGCTGATGCTTCCTCCTGCCTGTCGGGTGAGTAATGCTGCTTGGGGGGCAGGTGCCCCTGCGTTTTTCCAGGTCACAGCTTTAAGAGAACCTTTGCTCTCCCCGGGGAAACTGACAAATCTGCCAACTGCGTAGCTCAGCTGCTAACCTGCATGGGGGTGGAAGCCCAGGGACAAATGTCTACCTCCTACCACCTCCTCTGTCAGGAAAATTCTTTGTTTCCTGAAGCTGTAGCCTGAATCTCATGATGGGTGGGGTGTGTGTGTTTTGTATCAGAGCAAGCTTCTGTTGCCTCTTTCTATCCTCTCTCTGTTGGCCTTTTTACCATTGTTTCCAACTTTGCATTGTGGGTGCTTCCAGACATGGACTATTTTTGCAGCATTCAGTAATGGCTGTTCTGCTTTAAAAATAAAAGCTCATTGCAGATTGATTCTGCATCACCCCACTCTCTCCACACCTTCCCATTGTGGGTGGACCTATACCAAAACTGCAATCACCAGCTCTTTGTGTCTCGTTCAAATGACAGTCTTGTCCTTTTGTGTTATTTGACAAAGACATCTGATTTGTTCCTCCTCCCTGGCTATGATAATCTCTGCCCATCACTTAAGCCTTTTTGGACCATCTTAAGACAAGTCAGCAGAACATGAGAGTTATCAACAGTCTTTTGCAAAGTCTTAAAAAGGCATCGCCTTAGAGCACCCACATGGATAGTTCTATGTATAGAACTCAGGAAATCTATAAGAATGTGTGAATAATGAGAACAACTTATTTAAGCCTTACCACCTGTGAAAGAGCTTAGGCCCCATTTATACGAAGGGTATCTGGTGTGATTGTTGTTGCTTCTGTGGTAGTTTCCATTCCAACTGGCATACTCCACACCCTTTGAAGTACATCCCTTGCTTAACAAGCTGTTAAAACAGGGCTGGGAAATTTGTGGTCCTCCTGATATTGGTGAATCTAATTCCCATCAGCCCAAGCCAGTATGGCCAATGGGCAGGGATGATGGGAGTTGTAGTCCAATAACACCTTGGGAGCTGTCACACAGGTGACACATCCAGTGCCAGATTTACTTATAAGCTAAAGGAGCTATAGCTTAGGGCCCCACTCTCTTGGAGGACCCCCCAAAAAATGAAGGAAAAAACAAATGGATGTACATTTCCAAAATATAAGATAAAAAAAAAACACCTACATACAGCAACAGTGTTTTTTGTTGAGCAGGCTCCTATTTGTTATGTGCAAATGGCTTTAGATACCTATTAGGTCCATAAATTACCACATAGCATATATTCAACACAGAAAGCAGTGACAATTTGTTGTTGACCAGGACAACTGGACATATAAAGGGCCCCATTACCTTCAGTAGCTTAGGGCCTCATCAAACCTAAATCTGGCCCTAGACACATCCTTGTATTAGAGGAACTTTGCCTGGACTCAGCCAGTGTGAGAGCAATGAAGGAGGTGGTAGCAACTGCAAATGTCTAGAAGAAACATGACAAGTGGTTATTTAATTTCCATTTTCTACAAATTGCATAATAACATTACTGCTTTCCTGACCCTCTGCTGGCAGCAGCAACGTAATGAAACTTCAAGCCCTGAGGAGACTGCTTTTGCTGCCTTGAGCAGAAACCAATACGATGCTTTGAGGCGCCTGCGCTCCTACTGGGTCCCCCGGTTTCTCATTCACCACCAGAGGACCAGGCAGCGCAGGTTTGTGTGTTGAGGGATCATGAAATGAACGGGAATTTGGGGTGTGCGGAATGGGTTATTTTTTTCAGCTGCACTGGGCAGTAAAATGATATTTCTCTGTGTTATTTACTGAGTTGAATAGGATCCAAAATGCAGCAGTCTGATTGGTCCTAGAACAATAGGATTCAGAATGCAGCAGTCTGATTGGCCCTAGAACAATAGGATCCAGAATGCAGCAGTCTGACTGGTCCAAAGGAGCCACCCAATGCAGCTCCAGGTGAAAGTGAATCCGCAACCTGATTGGCCTACAGGTGAATCCCGGAATTAGCCAATCACGTGGGGCCCATTGTGTAACTAATGTATTTAAAGCAGACATTCTGGGGAACTTCCATTCCTCCTCACCACTATGAGCTGAATAAAGAGCATGAAATCCACTCTCGACTCTGAGTATATTTCACTCTGGCAGCAAAATTCAATAACCAGAGAGGCCTTTGACAGGAAGATGAGGCAACGTCTTTTTCGCTTAGAGAAAAGGCGAGTAAGGGGTCACATGATAGAAGTTTATAAAATTAGGACCAGCATGGAGCAAGTGGATAGAGAAAGGTTTTTCTCCTTCCCTTCTAAACACTAGAACTTGTGGGCATAAAATGAAGCTGAATGTTGGAAGATTCAGGGCAGATAAAAAAAAGTACTTCTTCATGCAGTTAAACCATGGAACCACTCCCACAGGGGGCAATGATGGCCACCAACTCGGATGGCTTTGGGATTAGACAAATTCATGGAGGATAATGGCTACCAATGGCTACTAGCGATGATGGTTATGCTCTGCCTAAATAGTCAGAGGCAGAAATGCTTCTGAATGCCAGAATTCGGAGGAGGAGATGGTGATGTTGTGCTCAGGTCCTGTTTGCAGGATTCCCACAGGCACCTGGTTGGCCACTGTGAGAACAGGATGCTGAAATAGATGGGCCATTGGCCTGATCCAGCAAGTTCTTCTTATGTTCTTATGAGAGATCTAGGGCAGGTAAACGGGAGCTTAGATTATTGCACAGAATCACTGAGGCCAAAGGGTGATCTAATCCAGTCTCCTACCAATGCATGGGGAACCTCAGGCCTCAGGGCCAAATGCAACCCTCCATGCTTCTCTGCCTGGCGCTTGGGACTCTCCCAGTGCCACACCTCTCACCAGCCTTGCTTTGCACCTTCCTTGGGTGCTCTTGCCAGGCTGCAATGTGCCCTTGAATTTGGCAATGCCTCTTGCTTGCCTAGTTGGAGGCCAGAGAGGGATGTGTGAAGAAACTGGCCTTCTGTACAGAAGGTAAAATTCACATTCATTGTTACACATTAACAGCTGCTACATTGAACATTTAAAAGTGATCTTCATGTGGTGACTATAATGTGCAAATTGGCTCCTCAGGGCGCTTGCATTCTCTGTTGTCTTCCTCAAGCTGAGGAGTTTGCTGATGTCCTATCGTCTCCCTCTCTCCCTCAAATGGGGAAAGTGGAAGGCTGTTTGTTGGCTCAAAATAATACCAGCCTATTTATGTTAACACTTCTGAATGCTTAGGCTCAGTTCAGGCTTCCCAATCGACAAGGAGCTCTTCCCAAGTACTGACTTCCTGTCCTCTCTTAACATGGCGGCATCGCTTCCTGTTGTGGATGACCAAAGGGACACAATGAGAAATGAAGACTCGAGAATGGTGTGCGTATCAACCCTTTAAAATCACAGAATGCTTGGTTCTGTTTTATTTCTGACCTATACTGTTATCCTGTGATCATAAATAACTCTCTTGATGTAGTGGATTTCTCCCTGCTGCAACCCTCCTCCCTCCCCCAGCAGTTTGATCACCCCATGGTCTGTAATTGACTAAGTTAAGGTGACTTGGGTATTAGGGACTTGTGGGAAACTCGCATGAGAATTTGGGGTGAGGTGGGGGAGGGCTGGCAGCCAGGTCACTTTAAAGCAGGGGGTGGGGAAGCTGTGTCCCCAGATGTTGTTGGACCACAACTCCCATCATTCCTGACCATTGGCCATGCCAGCTGGGATTGTTGGGAGCTAGGATTCAATCACATCTGGATAGCTGCAGATTCCCAGTACATGCTTCAAGGCTTTCACTGGTAGTTGTGGTGACAAGGTATGTATTTAGGGTAACTCAGCTTTATCAAATAAGCTGAGTTTCAGAATGGCCTTGGAGAATCTGGACACAGTTCTAGCCCTTGTTCCACTGCATCTAGCAGTGAGGCCCTGAAGGAACATTCAACTCTTTGCTACGGCTGTGATATCTGTCCATTTTTGCTTCAGCAATTTAGGGGGAACAGAAAAAGTGGAATTGGTCCAAGCAAGCAGTTGGACCTCGCAGAAGACCCCTCTGAAACACTGACCACCACCCGATTTCTCCAGGTACTGATGTGTGACCTGGGGGATGGTGATGGCTTTCTTCACTACTTGACTCGGTGAGTTATGCTTTTCTTAGCAGCCTGAACATTTACTGTTCTTTGTCGGGGTGTGTGTGTGTTGCTTCCTATTTGTGACCCAAGGGAGGATATTCACTTGTGGGGAATGTTTTTGCAGCCTTGTGCAGACCAGTTGCCTCCTTATATTCCTGGTTTTATTGGCGGCATTTTTCCAGTTCTCTGTTAAGCTAAGGGAGGCAGCTTTCCTGGTTTACCCTTCAGGTTTGAGGATCCTCAGAAGACCCATAACCTGTTGCTGTGGAGGAAGCTGAAGCTCTATGAAGCTGCATGGGCGCAGGAGGCAAGCCAGTCAGAAATTCACCATATTGCTTGGAAGATTTTTCAGACATTTATGGCGTCTTATGCAGGATGCAACACAGGTGAGCTATCCATGAATGTGGAGCAGCATTTGTTACCTCTGCTCTGTCATATGCCTCTGAGATGGCAGGAACCCAGGTCTGTTAGGAGTGAGAACCCTTTGATCTGTTGAGGGCCACATTCCTTCAGGGTTTATCTCTTGGGGAACACATGCCAGGGATGGGAAAGACCACAGTCAAAATTGCACCTCTCTCTTCTCTCTCTCTCTCTCTCTCTCTCTCACACACACACACACACACACAGAGGAATTTGAGAGGGGTGTTCCAGAGAGAGAAGTAGCAGGTCTGCAGCATACACACCAAATCCTTAAAGCAAAACACCTTTTCCCCAAATCCTGGGAATTGTAGTTTGTTAAGGGTGCTGGGAATTGTAGTACTGCATGGGGAAACTTGGTGCCTAAGTAATAGCTCGTCCAAAGAACTATCATAGCAAGCCTGCACTTTGAAGATGGAGGTCTTAAGCCAACCTTGTGTTCTGCTTCTCCTTTCCTTGCAGGGCTTAGCGCCCTTATACTGGAATACATCCAGCATCTTGAGAGGATGCTTTCCTTTGGCAGTGAAGACCTGAAGCCTTCCACTTTTGAACCAGTGGTTCCCTATGTTCTGGCTGTTCTGGATGAGATGTGGCTCCATTATCTTCGCCATGAAGTCACAACTTTCCTTGAGTGAGTCCCAAGCTGTCCTACACTATCCCACCATGTAAGATGGTGTAGTCTGAGTTTAAACCCAGTTGTTGCTTTATGAACAAAATGGGTTTTGAGAGTCAATAAAGAAAACTTTAAATATCTTTTTCCCAGTCAGCCAGTGCTCTTTGCAAATAATTTTTAAGCTCTTTGATTGTAAAAGGGGGAAAATTGCCATCTAATTTTCTTTTTTGCAGATACTGTGTACCGGAATCTCATGACGATGACCAAAGTATCGTGAGTGAAGGCGATAGAGTAAAACAGGAGGGAAATGAGAGGTAATACAGAATGCTGTGGAAACAAAGGAGCAACTTAGATGCTGAATTCTATTTAGTAGAGGCCTGGATTTACGAAGATGCTGTTCTGTTAGCCTCTGTGCCCTTACAATATCCTAATTCATAATCTAATGAATGAAAAATAATATCTGGGAAGAAAAAGGTACTGAAATATACTCAGTCGAGAGTGGATTTCATGCTCTTTATTCAGCTCATAGTGGTGAGGAGGGAATGAAAATCCCCTCCAAGTATCTGCTTTATATACATTATTTACACAATGGGCTGCACATGATTGGCTAATTCCGGAATTCTCCTGTAGGCCAATCAGGTTGTGGATTCACTTCTATCTGGAGCTGGATTGGGTGGCTCCTGCCGACCAATCATACTGCTGCATTGTTCTAGGACCAATCAGACTGCTGCATTCTGAATCCTATTGTTCTAGGCCCATTTAGACTGCTGCAGTTTGGATCCTATTCAACTCAGTACATAATAGGTACCTAAAGTTTTTTGGGTACCAGCAAATGCCTGGCTTACCCCTGGGTCTGCTGATAACCTTTCCATTATGTGGAACTTAAAGTGTAGCAGAAGCTATTAACGGGGCGGTTTTCAACACAATCTAAAAGTATTTCGCTTATTGTGAATTCATTTTCAGTTTATATATTTGAGAGAGAGAGAGAGATTCTAGCCCTCATAGGTGTGAAGGAAAGTTTGAAAATACATGTTCAAAATCTGCAAATGGAGCTTGGTCAAGGCTAATGAAATGAAAGAGCAGGGTTTGCTTTCTCTGCCAAGCTCTTATCTCCCTGTCCAGATTGCTTTCTCAGGCCATCCCCACCCATCTTTTGACCTTTCCCACCTCACTCAGTGCCCAGATGAAACCCAAACTACTGCAGTCCCTTTACATTTTGCAAAAATAAAATAAAATGCATCATTCCTTGGTGATCTGGGTGATTTATTCTTAAAATGGAATTTGCATTTCATTGATACACCTCTGGAATATAGTTCTTCCCCACCAAGTCCTCTGAGTGATAAATATTTATGGGCTAATACTTTGCGAGCAGGGAGGCTTCATATCGAACGATAACGTGAAGCTGTGATTCCCGAGCCCTGCAATGATCCTTATTTGTGTGGCCCTTCCTGCAGGATAAAGAAACAGAGGCAGAATGCCTGGCCACACCATGACCAAAAAGGCAGAGGGAGACACAGGAAAAGAAGCAGGAAGAAGGCAGCCATGACGTCTCACTGCACAGGAAGTGCTGCTGAGCAAGAGACAACAGGAGAGAGGTCAACAAGCCCTCAAGATGCGCCCACCGCTCAAAATGCACCCGACCTGCTCAGCAACGCTGTTGTTTTAAATGTTTATAGGAAGGTGGCTCATAAAATTCAGGATGTGGCGCTGCAAAGGATTCTGGGGCTGCTCCAGGAAGTGGAGGCTTGCCAGGATGCTGCCCAGAGTGAAAAGCGCCTGGGTTGTGTGGCGAGGCTTCTAGAGATCTGGGACAAGCCAGGGCCTGTGGGATCAAGTGCCTGCTTCCCAGAAGAGCTGAAGATGAGGTTAAAGAAGGAGGTAGCCGGGGGAGGGATAAGTGACTCCAGCTGGAAGGAAATCCGACTCTCTTTGCGTTCCTTTCTGGCCCCTGCTTTTGAGCAGTTCTGGGATGAAGTGAGTAAGGGGCTGAGGAAGCATGGGATGGAGTCCTCCGAGATCCCAGAGGAGCGCTGGGGGAAGCTGGAACCGTTCCTACACTCTATTGCCGCCAAAGTGGCTCTCAGGCGTTTAAAGAGCCAGAAAGCTCGCGATGGATCAGCAGCCACAGCTCAACCTGTTAAGGGGGACAAGACCTCTTTCTGGCAGTCCCTAAGGAAAGCCGCAGAGGGCTGGCCCACCATCGAGATTCTCCATTTCCTCAAACACCTCCAGGGGCATGGCCCCCCTGTGCTGGAGAGCGGCCTCCATTTTCTACTGGAGGTGCAGAAGTTCAAGAACGCCCACCACGCCTGGCCTGACATGGCTCTTCTGAAGAAGAAAGTCCATGTGATACGTGACTGTTTTCTCAACTCTCAGATTGAGCCCCGGCTACAGGTACGACACCTTTCCTGGGTAAGGGGCAGCAAATGTGACAGGGATACATCCTGTGCAAGGGGCAAAGGCTCCCTATTTTATACCTCCAAACAACAGGCGTGGCAAGGGAGCAACACCTGCTGTATTCTTTTCTCCCTTGAGCCTGCTCCTAAAGGAGTAAATTTGGGAAGGGAGGTGCATTCAAAGAGCTGTTTGACAGTGGACCAGACTTCCTAGGGAGCAGTGGTTTTTATTACATATTTTGTGTTTTTATCTTGCATTTTTATGCCGCGAACTGCCCCGAGATCTACCGATGAAGGACAGTATACAAATTTAAATAAATAAATAAATAAAAGCTTGTAGCTTTGGCAAACTAGTTGTTGGTGTTGCCTGCAGATCAGTAATTCCAAAATAATTAAATGCTACTATCAGTCTCCTGCCAGCAGAATTAATCTCAGCTTCTCACAGTCCCTGACTCATTGCATCTGGGGAATGCCTTGCCTGAGCGCAGCTGCTGCCTCTCAGCATTCGGGCAGAGAAACCAGATTATACCCAAACAGAGGCCAGAGTAGTACGAAAATGGTGTGAGTGAGAGCACACACGCTTGACCGCAAATTAGTGCTTCTGCTTTATTCTGCTGTTGGAAGAGCCGTGGGCAGGGAGGATGTTTCCTGTGGGTTATCTTGGCATGCTCCCAAGTCCAGGATGCTGAATGTGTGCTTCCTGCCCTCCAGGTTGCAGTGGATACTCGGAGGCTGGGGAGAGCTATCCGGGCAGCTGAACAGGCCGTCCAGGAAGAGATTCCAGTGCCGCCTCCAAGCTTGTTTGATGAGTTGAAGGATTCAGTCTTTAATATTCTGCTGCCGTACTGGGCCGCTTTCCAAAAACACTGGCTCAAGCAGTCCCCTGCGAGTGCACAAAAAGCCCCAGGTGGGTTTATTTTCACTTGGAAAACAGAAGAAAGAAAATGGCAAATGTCCATGCAGAGATCCTGCCATTGGTGTGTGTGTGCACATTAACATAGGCAATCCCTATGGCAAAACATGTTTTGCGCTCCTGGTTGATGTGTGGGGAAAGTTAAATGCAATTGTGTAGTACTAATGCAAAATATACATAAAGTCCTAGGTTCAGTCTCTCCGCTGGAAGGATCTCACAAGTGGGAATGCTGGAAAAGACCTCCAACAGAGGCAGCAGATGGCTGGCTACTGCCAGGGTAAATGGGCCTGGTCTCAGTAGCCCGCTAGTCTAATTCAATCTTAGAAAAATGCTTCGGCCTCCTGGCAGAAAGTCCACAAGGCTCCCCCTTTCAAGACAGAAAAAGTGCAAGTCAGCTCTGGCCAATTTCTGACTTTGTCTTTGTCTTAGGGCATAGCGTGTTTCATGGAATAGGGAGTAAAGGTTGCACAGTAAAAGCTCTCCAGAGTAACACCCGTTTGTTTTACCAGTACATCACACTGAGAGAAGAAACAGCTTTGATAGGTCTTCCCTCTCTGCAGTGTTGAGAAATCAGCTCCTCCTCCAGAAGAGGCGGGCCATGCTCGAAAAGGCGCAAGGGCCACCAACGCAGCTTCTTCAACTGCCACCGCTCCAGCGGCCCAGGGAAGTCCAGCAAAGCAGGGGTCAGGAGGGCTTTACTTACACTTTCTCCATCAGCAAAGGCCTCACGCTACAGGTCAGTATGCGGCATTGCACTCTTTACTGTTTCCTAGGATTCAGTGGCTTAGAATACTGGGAGAGGAGTGAAAGTACAAACCAATCTGGCAAGAGTGTTGGCTTTTCCCTGCTAAGTGATACAGGCTGATATTCCCGCAAGCTGCTTCTCATCTAAGAAAGTAGTTCCTCCTTTGCAGCAACTCAGAGCATCGCAAGACAAAGCTATCACCAAATTTGGTACAGCCAAGAATTGTGATAACAGCTCCTGGGTGTTGCACAAACAACCCTAACCAGCACGTTCTGTTGCTGTAGCTGAGAGTTATGCTGCCACCAAGTTTCCCCCCCCCCATTTTACACCCAGATGACTATGCCTGGCAGCCTGTTGCAAATGCAGCCTCTGGTTCGTTTCCACGCTCAAAGGGTGCATACGCATGCCAACAATAGATATAGTAATGGTAGTATTTGTTGCCTTTGGAATTAAATAGAATGTAACAGAATAGCCGAAAATGTAAACAGTTCATTGCAGGCTTCATATGTGTGAATGGCATCAAATGCAAGAAATTACAAGCAGTTTTGGAAGCAATGTATAGGACCACTTGCTGGAAAGTTGATGTCACTATTGACATAATTGAATAGGGACTATTGAATGTCACTATTCAAGGAAGATTTTTAGTCCCATGAGCCTACATTAGAGAGCAGGAGCAGATGAATTGAGTTGATCATCTCTCAGAATGCCTACCCTCTGTTGGTGTTTTTTATGGCCTCATAACCTGGTCTTTTTGACAACATTTTTACATATGCAATAGTAGTAATCTTTAATGGGTTGTAGTAGTTCTGCAGAGAATACCATGATCTGCAAATGACCCAACACTCAGCAAGTGTCTGAAAAATGTGGGATTCCTTGTTGCAGAGCAGGGATTATAGCAATATCTGCAGGGTTCCCCATCCCGGTTGCAGGGAGTTGAATTTTGGTGGTCTAAAAGCTTGTATGTGTCAACTAGGTATTGCCCTGCAGTTGTTGCAGAAACATTGAGGCACTCCAGTGTCACTTTAGGCTAGAAAATGATAATACGCTAATACAGTAACTGCTTTTCTCCTTAGAGCATGAGCAAAGAACTCACGAGTCACAGCAAGAATAGCTCTTCTGGGTTTCAAAACAGGAAGAGGTCAACTGGATTTCAGTTTCCGTCACTTCCTAATGTGCCGGTGCTCACTTGACCATGAAAGAAGGTACCGCCATTATTCAGATCCCAAGACTTTGCATGAATGCTGAGTGGCAGCCAGAAGCTACTATGGAGCATTTTAGAATGATTTCCCCCCCAAAAGCTAGCTTGATGTAACAGAGGGGCACCCAAGAGCAAGTTCACAGCCAAGATGTTGTGCAGATGAGAACATGTATGTGTTGCATGCACACATGTACTCCTTGCTGGTGGCCAGGAGGATATCACAGGAAATGTAGCATATGGGAGACAGTTGAAAATGGGACAAAATAAAGATTAAGTAGCAGCAATAGGCTTCATTTTAATTATGCAATTAACAATTTGTTGGTCACAAAGCTTTTTTTCCTATTAGATGAAAAGGTTACTATGCATTTTGGGGAAATTATAATAAGATTCAGAGTCTCGAATATGACTTTTGATGGTGAAAGTTATCTAGGCAATATAGAAACAATGATTTGTGTAAAGTAGATTTCCTTCGTATATTGACAGAATTTCCTGATCAAAAGATCTGCATAAATAAAACAGCACAGGGCTGAAACCTCTGTTGCTAATCTGCTGAACAAACATATATATGCACAATATGGTAGCCTTACACTATGTTGGAATCAGCTACATTGAACGTTTGGCCTTGGTCTCCTGGGAAAGAGAGTTCCCATCTTTCCTCATCCCAAAGTGAATCACGAGTGTGCCTCTCTGCTATTCATTATCATAATGGCAATGCTGTAGTTACTTTCCTCTCACCAGGGTGCCCTCAGCCCCACTGATGGGCAGATTCATTATGTCACTGTCTGCTACCTTCCTCTGCATTTATGGGACAGCCTTGCTCCTCACACACCATTATCTGCAAATGCAATAATAATGTTTCATGAAGGACCAGATGGGCAAGTCCAGACTCTTCTGCCACCTCAATATTGCAAAAGAAGCTGCAGTCCAAGACAGATCTACTGGTCTGACTACAACAGGTGCTGCTTAGCCACTGTAGACAGATCTTGTTAGCAATCGCAGCCAAGCAACTGTCCCATCTCAGTGTTCTTGCACAGACATGTTGACCTTGCAAGCAGGAATCAGAGTTTGCTCTTTGCATATTCCAGAGCTGCTGTCAGAACTCCTTGCAAGTCACTGGTTGTCCCGCTGCCCCTGGCTACAACTCCAGAACCGCCTGCCTTGCCTCCCATTTGAGTGCAGACAGCCAGGGCCCAGTCAGCAGCAGAAAACACCGGCAAGGAACTCTGGGGAAGAAGACCAAAAAATGGAAAAATTAGCTGAACTGCCAGGAATGGCCCAGTAGAGCAAATGCGTAGGCAACTTGGTGTTAGTCATTCCAGTTCTGGACTTTTGTTAACTCAAAAGCTGATAGACTGGCAACATTACAGGTGCAAAACCTTACATTCACAGAATGTGCATATTATGCACTCTTAATGGATTCACTGCACACATGCAGAATCTGTATCTGATACAGAAATTTGCATGCAGAAACTTTAGATTTCCTTAAAGTTCAGAGCATGGGGTTTAAATGTCCTCTGCCATGGCTATCATTTCTTGCACCTCTATGGTTGTCTAATTCCAACCTCTATCCTCCTTTTTGCAATTTCTCCCTTTTAGGCCGAGTACAGAATTTGTCTTTCCTTGGTTGTGAAACCTTATCTAGACCCAGTCAAGGAAAGACCATCAAGCAGTGGGCTTTGTGTTTTCTATTTATTCAAACTTTTACAGCAATGACCATCTGCAATGGTTTTTCCACCACTTAATGAAAGCACAAGCGCCAAAATTCAAAACTTATGTTCTGCAATAGGAAACAGTTACAGTATGAGGCTCCTGCATTCTATGTTCCAGAGAACAGTGGCAGCTATTAGCCAAGGGGCAGGATCCTGCTTACCTTGGATACCTGGCAGGCGCAGAACACCTGGCCAGAAGCTTGTGGACTTAGCAACATCACTGAGGACCCTGGTACCTTGTCACATAACTGGTTGACCACTTTCATCAGGACCTAGAAAGAGCATAAGTTAAAATAAAATTCCTTCTGTTTGCTACACTTAAATGCTCCCTCAAAGACCTGCAATGTTATATATACAATTTTGATTAAGAAGGTTAAGCATCTGAAAAACCTCTGGGATTTTAAAGTGTATTTTGATGTTCTGAAGTGTTTCTGGTACACTTTGGGCAGCCTATGGGGAACTGGATCATAATAGATGCAAAAAAGGAACTTGTACAGTGGTACCTTGGGTTACAGATGCTTCAGGTTACAGACTCTGCTAACCCAGAAATAGTACCTTGGGTTAAGAACTTTGCTTCAGCATGAGAACAGAAATCGCGCAGCAGGCCCCATTAGCTAAAGTGGTACCTCAGGTTAAGAAAAGTTTCAGGTTAAGAACGGACCTCCAGAACAAATTTAGTTCTTAACCCGAGGTACCACTGTACTGGTTATGGGGAAAGAAAGAAAGAAAGAAAGAGGGAAATTCTCTTCAACAAAAATCTTCAGAGCATGCCAACAAGTCCACCCCCAACGGATGCCCAATCTGCTGAGGAGCTCAAGGTTTACCTTCTCTCTGGCCTTCCAAAATCCTTACAGTATCATCAGCTGTGAGAGCTGAGCTCAAGGAATGATCTGCCACAACAGGACAAGTTGGACTTGCTCACAGGTAGCTAATCCAGCTTGGCCCTTGTTGCCTGTTCCCCTTGCTTTCCAAAAGAAATGCACAACTGGTAGAAACTTACTGAGGGCGACTCAACAGGGATGGTATCTATGATGACTGGCTGGTTGGAATACTTTGCTAGCAGGTCATCTGCTTTCTCTGCAGCCTGGAAAAAAAGGGGGGGGGATGCAGTCAGCAGTGCACTGTGTAGCAGACATAAAATTTGTGCCATGGGGGGGGGAAATGCTTCCAAATTCACATCCACATCTCTGGCAGGAAAATTTAGCACCCGTTTACACCTTGGCTTCTTTAGTGAAGCTGCACTTATTTGACCAAAACCATTGCCAAGTTTGGTAAGGACTGCTCTTCTCTTTCAATACAGAGCTTATTTAGGAATCTTCCTAAAATTTTAATGTTGCTCCTTTTGATGAGTACTATCTAACTGTTCTGGCTGGGAAGTTAGATTTGAAACATGCAGGCAGTATATGTCAGAAATTTCAGTGTCCAGGGGTTAGAGGAACCAACTCTGCTCTTTCTGCTTCAGGCTCAAGGGCACGCCCAGCTGCCATTTGACCACAGCTTTCTTTCCTCTCAGAAGAGCAAGCATCCATTCTGAAAGACTGGAGATTCTGCCAAATCTGGTGCTATCAGAAGAGATGTAAAACAGTCAACTTAAGCAAAAAATTTCAAGTTTATATAAATGTGGGAAAATTTTTTGCATAAATTTGTTTGCAAAAAAATTGAATTGAGTTTTCTTAGTGCAAATGTTAGGCTTTTTTGATACAAAAGAGTGAAGAGTACACAACAAGCAGCGTGCCAGACTCTCTGTTCATTTCTCCCTGACACGCACACCCTGCCTCTCAACTGTGGCAAACGGAAGGCCAACCAGCTCTAGGAAGCTTCCTTCCTTCATGTATGCCAGAAAGAGCACTCGGTTCTTCAGAGCTTGAGGGGATCTGTGCTTGGAAGCCATTCATCAGGGAGTGGACTAAGCTTGCTTTAAAAGCAATTGATTAGATAACATTAGATAACATAGCTGCTTAGAGTTCTTTTTCTCTACAGAAAAGTTTGGTAATAAATTCACTCCTTTGAAAAGGACAAACTTCCCATACTTTTGTCATGCCTGCAGATTACAAGGCTGATCTGCTGCTGGATTCTTACCAGTCTGATTTCCAGTTTTCTAACTGCTGTGTTGGCTGTTCGCTGCAGAGTTTTAAGAGTGGCCTGCAGCTCTCTTTTCTGCCACTGAGGTATTGTGGTTCTGTCCACGATCTGCAAAACAAATTGGCTCTGTTACCTGTACATGCTTGTGACTGCCGGGGGGGGGGGGGAGGGATGAAAAGATGCTCCAGGGACGCAGCTGAAGAGAGGAATTTTGACTCCTATGACCAGAAGAATGAAGCCTGTCTCCTAGCAAAAGAGCCCTTTGGATGTGATGGACATGCATGCAAAGTATAAACCATGTAGTACATTGCAGTGGTATCAACTGAGAGCTCTCCAATACTGGAGCTGTGCTCCTGTTACTGGTCATTATTTTATTTAAAAATTAAGGGAAGGGAGGATAGGACAGTGGCAGAAGTCACTTAGACAGAAGAAGAGGAGACGAGGAGGAGGAAGAACAAAAGACCATGAAAGTTGCATGTGATTTTTAGGTAGCACTATATACTTCTGATTTTATCACATATTAACCCCAATATCTCCCCAAAATGCTGATGCTATAAAAAACATAAGGGCACATTGGTGGTGGGAGTATTATTCATATTATTTAATATAACAAAACAAGATTATTATTTTTAACTACATTTATATACCACCATTCTCATAGAATTGTTGAAAAATTGACTAAAAATAAAAGTCCACTAGAGGATAAACAAAGATTCATACGCAACTACTTGGCAAAAATTATTTTGTATATAAATGATGGTAACAATGTTCGAATGACTCCTGTGAAATACGATACTATTTGGAATCCTTACTAAGTTTTCAGCTTCAAGTGAGAATTTTGTAAGACCTTGAGGACAGTATTTTAATATACTTTTTTAAGCAAATCTTTTTTAAGAAAAAAAATGTTACTACCCTCCAGCATAAATAACTATTGTTTTCCCCCACAGGGATTGTGAATGAAATGACCCAAATGTGTATTTTTTTTGAGGGGGTGGTGGTGCTGTATTTAGTTTTCTTTCAATTGTGTGTTTTTTTGCTTTATTTTTTATTGTGTCACTGCATTATATGCTCTTGATTAAATAAAAAGAAATACCAATTAAAAAAACAACAACCCAAAACCCAAAGTGGAGGATAGGCAGTGTTTTATTTCTATTGCGCAGGGCCACACAGATGGGCTTTTGAGGGAGGGAGTTGATAAGACCTCAGCAGATTCTTCATTACAGGGCAGAGCACCCAGACACCTCACCCTCTATGCCATGAAACACAGGGCACTTCAACCAGGCTGATACGGTCGCTAGAAGGTGAAATAAAAGCCTCTTTCAGGGAAAGTTAGCCATTATTTCAACTTCAACAGGAATCCCAGAACGAGGAACGAGCAGGGAAACACGTCCTCAAGAAGCATTCGAAAACCTTTCTTGAGCCCTTGTTGGGGGGAGGGAGAAAGTACTCACAATGGTCAGCTGGCCAACTTCTTTGGAGAGTCTCTGGGCCTC